CTGGTTTACTTATTACTTTGTTACTTTGCTCATAGTTTGCCACAGCCATGTTTTTGTACCTTGTCTGAACTTCCACTTTTTTGTTATAATAAACCTTGTTTTCCGTCATCTCCGCACCTGAGTCCTCCCTCAAGAACCCACCTTCCTGACAGATTTTGTATATAATTTTGTATATTGAAGTGGACATGTTAAGTGCAATTTGAAAGAAGAAATATAAAATATGATAAAAATACATTTTTGTGTTTATTTGATTCCTATTCATGACACTTAAGATACGATAAGAATAAAATAAGAATAACTATAGTGTTACTATAGGTGGATACAGATTTGTTTGACATTTTTGGTTGGTGGTGTGCCTCGTAATTTTCTCTATGACAAAACGTACATTGGCTCAAAAAAGGTTGAAAAACACTGATCTAATTTCAATTCAATTCAATTTTATTTATATAGCGCCACATCACAACAACAGTTGTCTCACAGCGCTTTCCAAACAGAGCAGGTCAGACCTACTCTGAAGTTAACTACAGAAACCCAACAATTCCCACCATGAGCAAGCACTAGGCGACACAGGCAAGGAAAAACTTCCTTTAACAGGCAGAAACCTGGAGCAGAACCATGGCTCAGGGTGGGCGGCCATCTGCCTCGGCCGGTTGGGGGTGAGGGGAAAGAGAGAGCAAGAGAGAGAGAGAGGGCGAGAGAAGGACAGAAGGAGCAGAGAGGGGCAGCCAACACAGCAACACGTAGAATAGATTAAAAATGGCAATGATATTAATGCTAATGATGAGCAGGAACATGGGGGCAGCAGGAAACTCCCAACCACAGATCCAGACTCCACAGCTCTAGGAACACCTGCAGGAAGTGATAGGAGGAGACTCACAACCACAGATCCAGACCCCACAGCTCCAGAGCCAGGAATATCTGCAGAAAGTGTTAGGAAGAGAGAGAAGAGAGAAGGGGGACGAGAAAGCACACGACTACGGGGAAGGGAGAGAGTCCAGTTAGTAACATTGTTAATGGAAAGAGGTTGCACCGGGAGGGAGAGAGAGAAAGGAAAGGGGAGAGGTGCATCATGGGAAATCCCCCGGCAGTCTAGGGCTATAGCAGCACAACCAGGGGTGGACTTACTCTAACTATAAGCTCTATCATAAAGGAAAGTCTTAAGCCTACTCTTAAATATAGAGACGGTGTCTGCTTCCCGGACCCAAACTGGAACCTGGTTCCACAAAAGAGGACTCTGATAGCTGAACGCTCTAGCGCCCATTCTAGTTTTCAAGGCTCTTGGAACTGCCAGTAACCCTTCATTCTCGGAGCGCAGTTCTGTGGTAGGGCAGTAAGGTACTAAGAGCTCTTTAAGATAAGATGGGGCCTTGTCGTATGGCTCAGGAACAGAGGACTCAAATGCAAGACCTGACACAGTGGGTTCAAACTCAAAGTTCCTTTAATACAGTCCAGGGTCAAACACCAAAAAATCCAGCAGAAGCAGAGGTATCCAAAACAGAGGCAAAGACAGGTCCAAATTCAGGCTGAGGTAAAAAAACACTAGAAAGCTAAGTAGACAAAGGCTGGAACGCTATGCTCAAAGAACAAAGACGAACTGGCAAAGGGACGCTGCATCAGTAAGTATTAAATAGTCTAACAAACAGAGGAGTACAAACACCAGGTGATTGTCATTAGGCTGTGTCAGATCCTGATTGCAGGGAGGAAGTGAAGCTGCCTAAAACAAGTTCAGGAAATAATTACAAAATAAAACAGGAAGTGAAAAGAATAGGTAAAACAAGTAATACAAGAAACACATCTAATCAGGACTGCCCCTGACAGGCCTGACCATGAAGAGCTTTATACGTAAGGAGAAGGATTTTAAATTCTATTCTGGATTTAACAGGAAGCCAGTGCAGAGAAGCCAAGACAGGAGAAATATGATCTATTTTTCTGGTTCCTGTAAGAACACGTGCTGCAGCATTCTGGATCAGCTGAAGAGTCCTAATGGACTTTTTTGAAGACCCTGATAACAGGGAATTGCAGTAATCCAGCCTAGAAGTAACAAATGCATGGACTAGTTTTTCTGCATCATTTTTACACAGGATGCTCCTAATTTTTGCGATATTACGAAGGTGAAAGAAGGCGGTTCTTGAAATTTGCTTAATGTGAGAGTTAAACGACATGTCTTGATCGAAGATAACTCCAAGATTTCTCACAGTGGTGCTGGAGGCCAGGGCGATGCCATCCAGGGAAACTATATCTCTAGGTAATGCGTCACGAAGGTGTTTAGGCCCTAGAACAATAACTTCCGTTTTAGCTGAGTTTAACATTAGAAAATTGCAGGTCATCCAGGTTTTAATATCCTGAAGACACATTTGAAGCTTAGCTAGCTGATGAGTTTCATCTGGCTTGATCGATAGGTATAACTGAGTATAATTTGCATAGCATTGAAAGTTGATAGAGTGTTTCCTGATAATATTACCTAAAGGAAGCATGTCATGTGGGGGGTCTTGATGGGAGGACTCAGGTGCGGAGATGAGGAAAGACAAGGTTTATTGCAACAAAAAGTGGAAGTCCAGACAGGATACACAAACACGGCTGTGGCAAACTATGAGCAAAGTAACAAAGTAATAAGTAAACAAGACTGTGGCAAAGTAACAAAATAAAGATTAACAGAACTGTAACAAAGCTGTGGAAAAACTGTGACAAAAAGCAAACCTGGCGTGGGGGTGACGAAGGACAGACGGACTAGACGGACAAGAACGCACTCGCACAAGACAAGGGGAAACGAGAACTATTTAAACACATGAGGGAGGGGAACCCCAGGTGTACACAATAGGTAATCATGACATGACGAGACACCAGACGTGACAGAGCCCCCCCCTTAAGGGACGGCTCCCAGACGGCCCTAAACATACACGAGGACCACGGGAGGGTGGGGAGGGGGATCAGGAACAGAGGGAACAAACACGAGGCGTGGAACATGGCGTGTGACTTGGCCGTGGGACTTGGCATGGGCGAGGGACATGGCGTGGCGAGGGACTTGATAAGGGACATGGCGAGGGGCAGGACATGAAACGGGACGGGACATGGAGCGGGACTAGGCTGTGGGACTTGACTTGGTGGCTGGGCATCCACCAGCTCGCTACCCGGCATGGACTTGCGGAGTGAGCCCCTTAGGGCTCGCTGATAGGCTGGGGCATGACAAGGGAACATGGCTGGGGACATGACTAGGGAACATGGCTGGGGGCATGACTAGGGAACATGGCGAGGGACATGACGAGGGTGTGGGCGTGGCGAGCCTCCCAGGCTCGCTCACGGTCGGAGGGAGTGGAGAGGTGAGCGAGCCCTCCATGGCCGGAGGGTGATGCGGGGCGTGAACGTGCCCGGGGCTCGCTCACGGGCAGGAGGATGGACCGGTGAGCCGGCCGCAGCTTCCTCCTGAGCATGGTGGCTAAGCCCCCCCATGGGCTCTCTCAGAGCAGAAGGGGGGGGGCCGCCACCGTCGCCGCCGCTCCTCCGAGGTGTCTCCGCTGAGTCCAGTCTGGCGAGTGCGGAGGGAGGGAGGACTCAGGTGCGGAGATGAGGGGAGACAAGATTTATTGTAACAAAAAACTCATGAAGAGTGAATGTCCAGACAAAGTACAAATCAAAGCTGTGGAAAACTGTGAGAAAAGTATCAAAGCAATAAGTAAAAAAGACTGTGGCAAAGTAACAAAATAACGATTAACAAAACTGTGACAAGACTGTGACTATGGCAAAGTAAAAGACTATGGCAAAAGCAAACCTGGCGAGGGGGTGACGAAGGACAAGACGGACTAGAAGGACGCAACGGACAAGAACGCACTCGCACAGGACATGGGAAACGGGGACTATTTAAACACATGAGGATGGGGAACCCCAGGTGTACACAATAGGTAATCAAGACGAGACGAGACACCAGACGTGACAAAGCATATATAACGTAAAGAGGATTGGTCCGAGAACGGATCCTTGTGGAACTCCGTGGCTATCTCTGGCATGCATGGAGGACTCATCGTTAACAGATGCCAGTTTAGAGACCACCAAAGCCTTCTGCATAATTTATTCCAGAATGCTTTGAATTTGTGTCCACTATTCACTCTAAATACATTCTAATAACTGGTGGTTTTAACCCACACTCCATAACTGCTCTGCTCCTCTGGAGGGAGAAATTCTGAGTCTTTTGTACCGTAGGGACTTTAAGCAGCATGTGGATGGTGTATTACTTCTGAAGTGGCTACAGATTTTACAGATATTTTAAACCCGACTCCTGCTCAGATTCTACCAGTCATGTGGTTTTATTGTTGATCAATTAAACAGAAATCTGAAGTCAGCCACTGACATTGTGGTTCCTTTAAATCAACTATTTTCTTAAACATATTTTATTGTACAGACAGAGAATTCTGGTGAGCCTCAGTGGGGCTGTTCTGACCTGGTTTTAACGGATCGATGATTTGGAAACATGCTCCTCAGGAATCCATGAAATTGTGTCTGGAGTTCCCCAGGGTTCAGCTTTAGGCCCGATTATTTTTAACCTGAAGATGCTGGGGATATCATCCGCTATGCTGATGATACACAGCTTTACATGTCATGTCTCCTAATAACCTTTGGTTGGCTGTTTTCTTTTGATAACTTTGTTTTTGTTATTTTCCTGCTTACGTCGCCAGCTGTAAATTAACTTAATGAAATTAAATGAGCCTAATAAATCAATTCTGGAACAATATTTGAGTTCACCAATTCTATTAATGTGCCATTTCCCTTTTACAATGAATTAATACAAAAAAATGTTTATCATTATTGTCTGAAAATGTCAAAATGTTCTCTGGTCCTTATTTTGTTTCTAACTTAATCTTCCACAGAAACCAGACATTCAGTGACTTCATTAGCAGCAATGCTGTCATTGATCAGGGGCCTCCTATACGCTATCGGCTTAGACTAGAAGTGAGGAACCTGGACAGAAAGGGGGATGATTCAAGGCTCAGAATATGCACACTTGGTACAAAAGATCCCAAAAAGCCGAATAGAACCATCCTGCTTGTTGGAGAGACCGGCTCAGGAAAATCTTCCTTCATCAACAGTCTTGTGAACTTCGCAATGGGGGTGAAACAGGAAGACAAAAAATGGTTTGAGATAGTAGATGATGTAAAAACAAGTCAATCAGAAAGTCAGACAATAAAGGTGTCAGTCTACCAGATCTTTGGCTTTGAAGGGAAAACTCTGCCCTACTCTCTGACCATCATCGACACTCCTGGATACGGAGACACCAGAGGGATCGAGTACGACGCCATGGTCAGTAGAAACTTACATGACCTGTTTCTATCAGAGGACGGAGTTCGTGAAGTTCATGCCGTGGGTTTGGTGCTGAAGGCGACTGAAAACCGACTGAGTGACAGACTGAGCTACAGCTTCCAGTCAGTGATGTCTCTGTTTGGAAATGATATGGAGCAAAAGATCGTGGCACTCATTACACACTCAGATGGAATGCCACCAGAAAATGCCCTTAAGGCTCTGGAAGCAGCAAACATTAAATGTGCTAAAAATGAGGAAGGTGA